CCGCAACATTACTTGGGACTAGGGAATACAAATTTCGCGATATTGGCAGTTTAGTATATTTTTTCCAAATATGTATTGAATAAATCGGGAAAAAAAATGAGAAACACACAACAATTACAACGTAAAGTATTAAATAATTACATCAAAAATGTTAACGTTAACTTCAGGAACAGTTTTAATAACACGATTGTATTACAAAATTAAAGTTATTAATGAATTTTAATATCACAAATCGTTTCCTTGTTTAATTATATAACTTTAAGGGTGAAAATCCTTTGCCATTGAACTGCTAACTTTGTTTTAAACTCTTGTCTTTCTTATTAAATTTCAGTTTATTTTAATTATTCATGGTTTCAGTTGTATAACTTTTGAAGCCTTGCATTTAAATGTGCTAATATTTTCTTGTGTAACTTGCTGAAAGATTCAAGGATTTTTTGTAACCTCGTGTCCTTGTAATTTTGCCTTTTAAATGATAACGTGTTGTCTCAGTTATTATTTATGCAGTACACTTCGTGATCTTCTCTCCGTCCCCGACCGGGGGCTCGAGGTCACGCGATCCAGACCGGTGCCTGTCTCGGCGGTATGTGGTCGCTGCCTGCGACTGGCGAGGGGTTCGAGTATTCGGGCCCCTTGAGAAGCCCGATCAGTGTCAGTTGTTTTGCGCCGTTAAGAGCCGCACTCTAGCCAGGTGGGCCCGGCGGGCCCGCGGGGTCGAGTCTAGTGGGGGGGGGGGCGTCGCAGAGGCCCGCGCTCGAGCCAGTTATACCTGGTGAGCAGTGGGCCGTTGGCGGCGCGCGGTCGTGTCCGGTGGGGGCGGAGTCTCTACTAGCTCGCCTGTGGTGGGCGAGCGGGAGGCTCACGCAGCCCTCGATGAGTCGGTCGGGAGGACCAGGTCTCGCGGGAGTCCGAGGCCGTCGGGGGGGCGCCGGTGGTAGGGCGCCAGCACCCGGAGGTGGTAGTGCCGCGACCGGTCAGAGCGCTCAAACATGTTGGTGCTCAGGCGCTGCACGAAGGCATAGATGCTCTCTACGCCGATGTCTCGGGCGATTGTCGCGTTCCGTATGAAGCGCGGTGCCTTGACGATGGTGCGCAGCGTCAGCGACTGCTGCGCACGGAGGCGTTTCCGGTTTGCTTTGGACACGAGCGCGTACCATGCCGGGGCGGCGTAGGTAAGCCGTGTCCGAATGTAGGCCTTGTAGATGCCGAGCTTCGGAAGACGGAGAGGCAGTGTTATGCAGTATATTTTAAACGGTTTTATTTATATAACATTTTTTTTAATGGGATAAGTCGGTAACCGAGATGTCGGATCACCTGATGATAGGCAATCGGCGTCGCCCATGGACACCTGGAACACCAGAGGCGTTACAAGTATGTTGCGGCCTTTTGGGGAGTACGAGTTTGAGGATTGTTGTTGATTCACGGATTGGGGAGATTGTGAAAGGGGCGGAGGTGTATTTGTGCCTAAAATAATCTCAAAAACACAACATCACGCCTTTTATCCTCGAAGGGATAGGCAGAGGTGCACATTACGGCACTTACTGCCAGTGTACAATGTAGCACCCACTTTTCACTATTTATGTTATGAGTCCCGTGTAATAGGGGGTGAAGCCAACTGCCATATCCCAGGCACGTTTCCAGACTCCGTGATAAAACTGAGAATTTTATAAAATCCAGTAAAACATTGCACGACCCGGGTTTAGAACCCGAGACCCCTTTCCCAGGAGTCGCTCGAACAACCACTCGGCCAAGGAGGCATCAAAGAAAGAAAATTGGATCTTGAAATCCGTTTATAATACACTCATATACCTGCAAATAATTCAAAATTTTACTTCCAAGACACAAACCACCTTACACAAAATCAAAACAAACTTTAAGCATGTTGTTTTAAAATTTAAATTCAAATGTCTGCTTGCTGTAGTAAAAGTTAATTCAAAATCCTGCGAACAGATGAATGCTTAAATAATAACACAGGGTGGTATTATATCTGCATTCTCTGTACCAAATAAATTCACATTTTTCCCTGTGCTAGCTAAACGAAAGATTTCCGAATGCATTTTTCATTTAAAATTCAATTTACTTTTTGAATTTCGTTGTACAATGCATTGTTGTATCATTTGCTGTATAATCGTTAGCGTGACTAGCTACTTCCACGTGGATTCACACGCTCTGCTCTACTCCTATTGGTCGTAGCGTGATGTTTTATAGCCTATAGCCATCCTCGATAAATGCGCTATGCAACACAAAAATAATTATTCAAATCAGACTTGTAGTTACGGAGATTATCGCGTTCAAACAAACAAACAGAAAAATAAACTCTTCCGCTTTATAGAATAGTATAAGATTAGTTCAGATTGTAATAGGTGATGGTCAAAAACAAGTTTTCACTATTTATGTTATGAGTCCCATGTAACAGAGGGTGCTTCAATAAAGCTTTAAACTGAAAATTCCAACTATCAAATCATTGTTTTTTGAAGTGAAAAATGCTACATTTGCATATTAAAAGATCAGACGTCATCTCAATATATCAAATCAGATAATCTTTATTTGTCTGGTTAGATATTTCAATCTTATAAACAATGTCTGGTTGAATTAAATCACCGCCATATTGATCAATGAAATGGTTTAAAAACATGTGTAGTCTGCTAGTCTGGTTATAAAACCAGATTTTTTCGTTTGTGCCTCCGGGAACCTCACTTACACGACGAAACATAACACAAGCGTTGTTTCACGTCGGTTTTCTGCGAGACCGTGGTATCACTCCGGTCGAGCCGGCCCATTCGTGCCGAAGCATGGCTCTCCCACACTTAAAAATTTAATTGGTGGGCTAGTGAATTTGGATCTCCAGAAAGAGGTTTCATGTAGGTACTTCTTCTTGTACTGTTCGATTTCAGTTACATCTTCTATCACTTACATTTGTTTTTAACCCTTGCCTCTGAGGTTAAAAACCTCTATATTATGTTATGTATTACACTGTTTATACTCTCTCTTCGCCATCTTATGCAAATTTACTTTAGCATTTTATACATCAAGGGATGAAATGATTAACCCTTATATGCTCAGAATAATCTCAAGGGCCCACATGACCTTTTGTAAGTCAATCACAATATATGTTCGGATTATCTAGGGTTAAATTTTTTATCCCAATTTCATACATGATTGAACAAATTTTATACTTTATATAAACAAAAAATTAAGTACTTGATTGTTGATCTTGATAAATGGGACTCTAAGAAAAGATTTTTTGGGTTTGAAATGATATTTATTGAGGTTCTGGTATCTGTAACTTAATATTACAATATAAAAAATTATACTTAACTTATATGTAGGCTAATAATGTGATTTTAAATCTGTGGCGTAATTTTTTTACTAGAAATTAGTTTTATTTTTGAATAAGCCGGTAAATGAGCAGACGGATCACCTGATGGTAAGCAATCGGCACCGCCCATGGACACCCGGAACAACAGAGGTATTATAAGTGCGTTACTTTTGGGGATTAGGAATTTCAGAATTGACTAGTAGTGGGGGGGAGTTTAATTTGGCTAGCAGTAACCTCACTGAGACTACGAAATACAATGGAAGCGTTTTTTCACGTCAGTTTTCTGTGAGGCCGTGGTATCACTCCGGTCGAGCCGACTCATTCATGCCGAAGCATGGCTCTCCCAAACTTATATGGATATAAGTGTACCATATACTGTATACTCTGGAGAGTAGTAGACGAAAAAAATTTTAAGTACTATTACAATATTTAGTAGATAGGTTGTTTTTATTTATTTATTTATTTATTTATGTACACACATACAACATAAAGGACAACACATACATAAAATAAAAGTACAAAGGTACCACCTATTCCTATTGGAATTTCTTCATGTGGGCCTGGAGCAGGAAAAGTAATAATAATATAATGACACAGTGTGTAGTAACAAATAAAAAATTGGGATAGGAAACAGACTTAAAACTAACAGATAAATTTTACTTGCTCTTGGCTATTTGTGCACATTAAAGCATTCACATTTTTCCATCTTATGAACTGTATTAAAAAATTAATAATAAGTACACCCGATTTTCTATTAATAAAAATAACTATAAAATATTTGGTGTACTGTACGGTAATCTCTGCCTACGCCATTCTTAGAAAGAGGACATCAGGACACCTACGTGGTTCTAGTTTCATATAGAAAAGGTATTTTTAGTTTACGCCAAAATCTTTTAAGGAAAAAGCTATTAATAAGGTTATTTTGGTAATATTAAATGTACTAATAATATAAAGTGATGTTACTAGTTTATTTTAGAAATACCCACAAAAACGTTTAACCTTTTGTAATGATGCTATTCTACATATTTGGTTAAAATTGTCTTTTATTTAATCATCAAATGACTTCTCCCGCCCGGGTGAAGCGACAGGAAATGTCAGACTTACTGACTAAATACCACCCCATTCCTGCTCCTGCACTTCGAGCCGTAGCCCCGGTAACCTTTACATTCTCCGCGGCTCCGTGTCGGCGGCCAAACACTGTCTAACTAAATCTATTAGTATTTAAAATAAATCTCAACGTAAAAAACCAATACGTTATTTTCGACAGTGGCGCCATCACTGGAACCAACCACAAAACTAAGAAAGAAGAAAGAAAAACTATTTATTTCTGCGCAGATATACATAACATAAACTTAATTAAAAACTAAAAAAAAAAGATAGCGAAATCAAAACCAAGGTATAATATAAAATAATATACCATATAACTTAAAACACCAAGGCTCAAACAAAATGAAGTCTTGTCCATACTACTTAATCTATTTTTTAAACAACAGGTGTATTTACATATTCTCTTACACATTACATTCATACTCAGGACAACAATAAATGTGGATCATACAAAGAGGTGTTCCATGCGGAAATCTATTCCACGGTCGGTTGCAGATATCAAGCAGGTTCCCAGCCACTGCATCAACTACACAGTCATCAAACTATCGTAACTAATGATCATTTCTCTTTGTTCCAGTTTGCTCCACCGTCGGCCTGATTTCGGAAAGAGCTGATCATGACAACCGCCCGCAAAGCAAGCTAAGCTTGTCAAATTATGACATAGAAATACGGAATAAATGGACCAATAACTTAGAAAGAAAATATATTAACTACATCGAAACTGTAGATGAAGTAAAGACTATTAATAGTAATAATAATAATTACGAAGCAAATGAAATTCAAATGAGAAATTTAGATATTCATAGAAATAATGTTCAGAGAATGAATGCTAATTCTAAGATGAGGAATTTTGATGTTAGCAAAGAAGTGAAAAGAGTGAAGAGGGATGATAAGGATCCTCGATGTGAATCCTTCAATTATGATGACAAGGAGAAGTTTATAACGCATCCCCATCCGAAGAACAGTGGGAATAATTACTATTATAATAATTCTGATTGCGTCACTAAGATTAATGGTGAGTATCTATAAGTAATATTATTATAAGAAGTAGTTTTTAAACAAATACATTTCCCTAGGACGATTATTAACCTATTTACACTAGGATTTTCCCCTGGGTCGTGTGTGTCGTTCTCAAACATACAATTTCACAAACAGTCCACGATAAATTAGTTTTTTTAGCTACAGATCAAACTATGAAATCTAGTATAAACTGACCGTCGAATATACGAAAGGGTCATAGAAAAGGAGACCGTAATAAGCTAGTTCTTTGTAGCTCGATTAAACATAATTTGTACTGCAGCCAGTTGCCCAGCCACTGCACTAACCATGCAGTTAAGTTTTAATAATGATGATAACGATATTAATCTACAATTAAAATAGGAAAGGCATAACACCTCCGATAGTATTAACTTGGTACTTCCAAACGTTTCACTCGCTCTGCCCAGGTTTCCTCACGATGTTTCTTGCACAGTTAGTCACTGGTGTCTAAATAATCTTAGAAAGTAACTCGGAAGAAGTCACATTGGTACTTGCCGTTGGTAGGTTTCGAACCCGCAACCTCGTGCATGAGAAGCGAGTGTCATAATCCTCCAGGCCACCATGACATTTATATTATGGTTAAGTCTAAAGCAACATAAAACGTATGGCCTTTATGGGACTTAGTATGTCACTCACCATGGACTACATGTGCTTTAACTGTGACATCGCTAAACCCATGGATCATGGGGTTGTGCAGTAAAGGAAAGGAGGGCTCGGTATTTTTAGTATGTTTGGAAACATAGCTGCACATTAAGCTATCCATAACCAGTATAAAGTGAACCTCAAATATGCAGAAAGGTCTTATAAAGCGAGTCCACGACAAATTGGTTTTTATAGCTACAGATCAAACTATGAAATTCCAGTGTAAACTGACCGTCGAGTGTACGAAAGGGTCATATAAAGGGAGAACAAGATAAGCTGGTTCTTTGTATCTCGATCAAACATATTTGTACATTTTCCCTTATTTTGTGAAGTGGTAGAGTTCTCAAAACTGTACAGTCTTCTTTTATGGAATAAGCCGGTAAACGAGCACACGGATCATCTGATGGTAAGCAATCATCGTCGCCTATGGACACTCGGAACACAGTGGCGTTACAAGTGCGTTACCGGCCTTTTGGAAATTTTAAATTATAATTTATTTATTTTAATTTATAACTATCAAACACCAAGCGGTCACCGTGACCGCAACCTATTGTTCTTTAATTGTGTCTATATTGACGGTACTCAACGAGTTAAATTAGAAATTTGAGGATTATTGGAGACTAGCTACTTCCGCGCGGTTCCACACGCTCTGCTCAGCTCCTATCGGTCGTAGCGTGATATTTTATAGCCTATAGCCATCCTCGATAAATGCGCTATACAACACAAAAAGAATTACTCAAATCAGAATTGTAGTTACGGAGATTATCGCGTTCAAACAAACAAACTCTTCCGCTTTATATAATTGTATAAGATTCAGGGATTGGGAAAGGGGAACGGGTAATTGGTTCTCCGGTAACCTCACTCACACGAAGAATCATAACGGAAGCGTTGTTTCACGTCGGTTTTCTGCTGGGCTCCGGTCGAACCGGCCCATTCGTGCCGAAGCATGGCTCTCCCACACTTTAGAGAATGAGAGAAGATGGAATGAGTAATATATAGACATTTAATTATGTCACCAATTCTTTTCTTCCTGTGGGTGTAGGAAGAGCTAAAACACAAAAATTGCTCTTTTAACAGAGACGGGACCAGCAATAATCTTTGATAAACTTAAAACTTACTCACGCTTGATGTCATAATGCCATTATACTCTTGTTCGATGGCACTGGGCAGAACTATAGATACTTTACAATATTTGAATAATACTTCTTTAGCTTCACATAACAATATGATCGTTACTCAATATTGTAGGTAGGTACAGCTACCAGGAAAATTCCATGGATAATTATCCTATAGGTATAATCCGAAAAATAAATCATAATAAAATTCCATAAATATTTTGTTTTATAGCTCTCACAATAGCGCGATAAATTAGGTTATTATTGACAAATAAATAATATGATGGTCATGATGAGGTAACGACATTACCCAAAATAGGTATTCAGGATCTTATTTTTCACAGATTTTTCTATTTAAACCTAACTTAGGTTGATTAGTAAATTTTGTTTTGTATCTAGACTAAATTTTGATTTGAATTGAGACTCTTAAAAAAATCTTTCCAAAAAGCCTTCTGTCTAGTAATACTAAATTGTATGTTTCAGCCACAACGACAGACATGGTGATACAGCTGACATTTGTGGATGTGTTCCGCATAGAATATCATCCGGAGTGTGCATATGACTACCTAGAGGTAAGTAGCTTCAGTTGTTTACATAACATCACGCCTTTTATCCTTGAAGGGGTGTAAGCAGAAGTGCACATTACGGCAACTAATGCCACCGTACAATGTAACACCCACTTTTCACTATTTATGTTATGAGTCCCATGTAATAGGGGGTGAGCCTATTGCCATACACCGGGCACAATGCCAGACTCCGTGCTACTACTAAGAATGTTTAAAACCAAGTAATACTTTGCCCCAGGAATCGAACCCGACACCCCTTGTCCGGCAGTCACACTTGCGAACACTCGGCCGACGAGGCAGTCAGTGGGGTTTTTATTAACAAACACATTTATTTTTAACGAAAAATTTATGAAGGGAAATTTACAGTTCATCAAATAATTAATTTGAACTATATATCAGCTTGCATGGCTATGAATAAAAATCAAAACCTGATAAGCTGCTTTGCAACTTTCAATTGGAAAAACGAAGTAAACTCAATCGCAGTTCGTCACGTCATTCGTTGGGTTAATAACCTCGACCAATGACAGGCGAGAATGAACAGCTGGTATTTCGAATGAAGTAGACGTGGATCTTAAAATAAAAATAAAGTAAAAACTACTTAGAAGAAAAGATAATTAGGTATGACTAGGTTATTGTGATGGTGGGGGCCACGGAGCAGGTCTCTTTAGAGGACCTGGTGCCCCCTACAGGTGCTGAGGGTGGCCACCGTGGTAGTTTAGTGAGGTACGAATCCCACACTCCCTAGTTTTTCTCCCCAAAAAGCTAGGCGCCTTTTGAAGTCCCCCCGTCATCAAAAAAAGGCTATTGTCATGGTGAAACACGATCAATTGGGATGATGACAGGGTATGAAAATTAAAAATCTAATTAATCCGTACGTTAGGTAATAAAAAAATATTAGACAGGTATTTTTTTATTTTGTCGTATAATAAAACAATACTTAGATAAAACGAATCAAAGTTTAGGAGTGGAGGCTAAAACGTCATTTCAACGTATAAAATTTACATAGAAGTGACGTCACGCGACATTTCAAATCAATATATCGTCAAAAGTATATTCTGTTTCTGTAAGAAAATAAAAAATACGTGGCTAGTGATTTGAAATAATCTATCAGACGGACATAAAAATTATTCTACCCTATTCACTTTTTTAAAATGTATTTTTTAGAAATTTTTTCTGCCCACTCCATCAATATCAATATGTTGAAGAGACAATTATATATATAACTAGCAGCCCGTCCCAGCTTCGCACGGGGTAGACAATTATTTATTTTTGGAAATTTTGATTGTTGTAGTGACATAACTACAATAGTTGGACATATGCTACCGGGGAGTTTTTTGTAGACATTATGATGTTCTTCAATATTGTTGTACATTATTTTGTACTATCGCTAATAGTTTCGGCAGCGCATTCGACAAAAGACATTTTAAGACTCATTTTTCTACACTTTCGGTTACATTGTTCAAATTTTACCAAGGATCCCTAATTTTTTTCAAAATGAAATGTAGCCTATGTCAAGTTGGAAGAATGTAGAATTCTATTGGTGAAAGAATTTTTTAAATCGGCCCAGTTCTTTTTGAGCCTATTCATTACAAACATACAAACATACAAAAATCTTTATAATATTAGTATAGATTAATCGTCTCTTCGACATGTTATCTGTAAGTAGGTACTAGTCTACATTCTGTTTCCTTCAACCAGATTCGAGACGGTTACTATGGTTACGCAGACCTCATGGGCCGGTTTTGCGGCCAAGCCTTTCCAAGAACATTGAAGACGAAAGGACCTAATGTTTGGCTGAAGTTCCATTCAGACGACACAATAGAATATGAAGGATTTAAGATAAACATCGAATTCAAAGATGGACCGAGCCGTGAGTATGATACTTCTGATTTTTCTTTGAATTTGAGTCCTCGTGGTCAGTCTACAAAGAAACCCAAGAAATTTTGTTTACACAACAATACTAAGAACACTGATATCCATACTTGCCTAAGTACCTACAGTCATTGTTTATCATAGGATTTTTTATTTGTGCCGCCATTATCATAAGTCGGAAACAGCAATACAACTCGTATCCTCATACAACCAACCTTTGTGATATAACTAAGAATTTCAAAATCGAAATGTCTAAGAAGCTATTGTATAATGTATGTATATATGTATAATATATGTATAAGAAGAATTATACAAGGTGTTGTTTTATAGCCGCGTAATTTTTTTAGGAGGTAACTCGTCTATCGATTTTGAGTCCGAATCTATAAAAAAGACACAAAAACTCAAACACGTAATTGATATTATTCCTAATTCCATAAAACTCCAATAAGAAACATTGCTGTCGCTTATTCTGAAATACTGTCGAACTTAAACGACTTATTATAGCCCTATTTTTAACTATTGGCCCGAAAGTCTCTTACATTGAACCTTTATGACTTCTGTGACATGCCCCCGAGAAATGACACGGTTTCAAAATTACGCCTTGTATATGCCGTGGTAGTCCGGAGGTTTAAGACGCCCGTTTCTCGTGCTTAAGGGTGCGCGCTCGAAACCTACCAACAGCAAGTACCAATGTGACTTTTTCCGAGTTATGTATTATGTACTTCCTAAGATTATCTAGACACCACTGACAAACGGTGAAGGAAAACATCGTGAGAAAACCTAGGCTTATAATTTCTAATTATAAGTTTGTAATCGTCAACCTGCATTGAGCAAGCGTGGTGATTAATGCTGAAAGCTTCTCCGTGTAAGAAAAGGCTTTGCTCAGCAGTGGGCATTTATGGGCTGTTGACGTTAATGTTGATTCCATTATATCAATACCCAACTACCCCAGTCTGGTTCCAAAAATACCATTCCCATAAGAAACTTAATTGAACTCCACTATATTAAAATATGGTTAATTTTTGTTCTTCTGCCAACAGACCACATACCGGAAGAATGCTACACAACGTTTGACGAGGACAAGTTTGGCGTGATAGACACGAAGCAAATTGACCCATTGTGTACCAGTAACTCCAACCAGGCGTTAGACGTGCTCTGGAAAATTGTGGTCCCAGAGAATATGAAGGTAAGAACTAGAAAGGTTTATTTATTACAGCTTAGCTAGTTGGAGGAACCTAACGCGTTTTCAAGGCTCTGGATGAAACCAGGTGTAGGAACGGAGTGGTTATAGTCAATAAAAATCTACCACTCCCTTTCGCCTCCCAAGGTGGGAGAAGTAATTAATGACATTTTCCCCTTAATAATAATTTGGTCAAAGGAAAAGTATAAACGAAAAATGATTATCACGACTTAACTTGATATGACAGTAATAGGAGTTTGTGATAGTATGAATCTAAACGAATTAAAATATGGACAAGAAGAAGGAAATAACAGTGAACAAAAATACTCAATTTACACCGCCGCGGAATGGAATGGAAGCAACTGTTTGCAACGAAACTGTACATAGAGGTAGAACAAAGAACTATGTTATTACAACTGAACTCACGCAAATGTAGGTAGTATGACAAATCGCTCAATACGAACGGCACACAGCACTCTATGTTCCCAAGCCCTCACTAATACACATGCAAAGTTCACAGTATAACACATAAATTAAATCGAGCTAAAATATAGGACGTACGTCTTTCCCGGAATCCTTGCGCCTTCTCGAAAATTTCCTGGTGCCGCTGTGGAATCTGCGGGAAACCAATAGTTTTGGTCCAGTAAAAGATATAAACTCAACAATGGGACAACCTCTTATGTCATGAGACGAAATTGACGCTTCCATTCGGTTCTATACCGCGGGGGTGTAAATTGAGCCTATACATTAGATGGCCCGGGGCGAGTGGAACCGGCGAGAGATGTCACGCGGTGTTCCACAGGGTTCGGTTCTGGGGCCGCTCCTGTGGAACATCGGCTATGACTGGGTGCTGCGCACCGACCTCCCGAACGGCGTTAGCACAATATGCTACGCCGACGATACGCTGGTGCTAGCGCACGGGAGGTCACACCAGGCGGCGGCCGACTTAATGGCGACAGCGGTTGCGACAGTCGTTGAGAGAATCCGGCAGTTGGGACTCGAGGTGGCGCTCCACAAGTCCGAGGCCATGTGTTTTCATGGCCGCGGGAACGCGCCACCTCCGGGTGGGTCCCAAATAACGGCGGGAGGAGTTACCATCGGCGTCGAGACGACGATGAAGTACCTAGGACTCGTCCTCGACAGTCGGTGGAACTTCATTGAACACTTCCGACGTTTGGCTCCAAAGTTGGCGAGGACGGGGGCTGCGTTTAAACGCATCCTCCCCAACCTCGGGGGGCCAAACGCCTCCTGCCGGAGGTTATACGCCGGGGTCGTGCGGTCCATGGCCCTCTACGGCGCCCCTGTTTGGGCGCC